TATGATATTTGTGTTGAAAGTAAGTTTTATTTTGTTCCTGAAATTGCTCATAAATAGCTATTTTATTCATTTCATTGAAGTGATCATAAATTTCCATACGATAAATAGTCATCAATCACACATATTTGTTATCCTATGTTTAATGATTGAATGTTAAATATATCCTTTCCAATATTTTACAACAAGTTTTCATTAAATAATATACTTTTGCCGAGCTCTAAAGTTTTGTAGTAACAAAAAAGTTGATAAAATAAAAACAAATTGGCTTAAATCTTCATCTTTAAATTTATTCATGTTTTGATTTGATAAACTGAAGGAGATGGAGTTTCGAAAATACCAAAGAGAAGTTTGTTATAATAATCGAGAAAAAGAAAATACATACCAACTAGTACCGAACAGATCCAAAAACTGCATGACTATCCAAAAAAATCACACTTTTTCAAAAACACTAAAAACTGATAAACACCCCTCGAAGAAAAATCAAATCGCACGATGAAAATACTGTCTCCGAAGCAAGAAAAGCGTGGCGGGAAGCTAAGCAGAAGGGTTGATTGTTGTTGTTGATGGCGTGCTGACCTATGCGGAAGTGTTTACGAAGAGGTTACGGGGTTGGGGCTGACCTGCACTACTGGTCGCGTGTGCTGCACCACCTCTACTTTGATGCAACAACCGATGCCAGGTACGGACTGAGGGGCATTTCCAGGGGATCGACGAGAGGGTGGAGCGTAGAGACGGGTCAGATTTTTCTTTTATGCTACTCTAACATACAAGTGGGTGTGTTTGAACTCCATCTCTCAACATATAAAGTGGATGTTGTTTATTTAGACTTTCAAAAAGCCTTCCATCAAAAAGACCATTCTGTTCTTCTCAGCAAATTGACAAAGTTGGGACTCTCTACCTAACTGCTTACTCTAATCGAATCATATCTAGTTAACAGAGAACAATTCGTCGACAGTAAATTATCATTTACAACATATATAAGGAATATGACTGCTGATGCAAATATGATGCTTGGATTCATTTACAGAAATGGCAAAAACTTCAAAAGTATTGCCACCTTAAAATTGCTATATTTTGCGTATGGCTCTATGTTATGGAATCCAGTTTACGACTACCAAAAAACATCAATTAAGAGCGTGCAGAGGAAGTTCCTGAAATACTTATGTCTATAAGTTGATGGTCAATACCCCACGGGAGGCATCGATCATAAAATATTGTTGACACGATTTGATATGACATCTTTGGAAAATAGTATACCCTTGGTATACAATTCCTGCATGAATTTTACTAAACAACAATATAGACAGTACGGTTCTTTTACCCGAGATAAGTTTCCTAGTACCATGAAGTGAAGTCG